CCGCGGGAAGGGGCGGGGCGGAGGAGGAACTGGCTGTCCACTGGCCAACGGCCTCTGACGGGCAGGTGTGGACGGCCGGACCCACCCACCAAGGCTTCGCCACACCATGGGGGGTGGGGCCACGAGCGTCAACAAAGGGCCGCGCCTGCGCCTTACAAGCTCCAAGCTCATTGGCTGGGAAGCGAGGATTGACATGCCCTGTGTCCAATGAATGGCAAAGGCCCTTAGGTTCTAGGATGGCTCACAATCAGCTCTCTTTTCTATGAGGCCTTAGGGTCCTGAGCTATCTTTCAGGTCCTGAGCTGCCATTTTAATTGTCTGGAAAACTATAGTAGTCCGATATGGAGGCACCCTGGACCATGTAAACTGAGAGGAGTTCCCTAATTTCCATGTGGTAATGGGTCATGTGAGTAGGGAGAGGATCATAAAAATGTTGTGTGGCTCAGACTTCAGCAGCAGGAAAATGCTCCAAAGAGTAGAGAGAGAAGAATTTGGACCATTTAATGTGGTTAAGATAATTTGAAAAGAATGGCCAGAATTGAAATATATGCACTCAGAACTGAGTGTTGAAGTGGTAAATGACAGGAGCTGGAAGATGTATAATAAACCTGACATTCTTGTCAAGCCTCCAAAGAATGAATAAAAAAAGACATACATCTTTTAAAGGACTAGGTCATCTCCTAAGAGCTAAGCATGACAAACATTAAAAGAGCAGGCTTCCTAGGATGTTTCTGAGGCAACAGTTCAAGACTGTTGATTTTAAGGTCCACTTAAGACCTATCAACAACAAATCAACAAACAACAAGTGCTGGAGTGGATGTGGAGAAAAAGGAACACTTGTGCACTGCTGGTGGGAATGCAGACTGGTGCAGCCACTATGGAAGACAGTATGGAGTTTCCTCAAAAAACTGGAAATGGAACTCCCACTTGACCCTGTGATCCCACTTCTAGGAATATATCCCAAGAAACCAAAAACACCAATCAGAAAGGATATATGCACCCATATGTTCATAGCAGCACAATTCACCATAGCTAAGATCTGGAAACAGCCTAAGTGCCCATCAGTAGATGAATGGATTAGAAAACTGTGGTACATCTACACGATGGAATACTATGCTGCTGTAAAAAAGAAGGAACTCTTACAATTTGCAACGGCATGGATGGAGCTGGAGAGCATTATGCTAAGTGAAATAAGCCAGTCAATGAAGGAAAAATACCACATGATCTCACTCATTCATGGATAATAGAGACCATTACAAACTTTTGAACAATAATAGATACAGAGGCAGAGCTGCCTCAAACTGATTGTCAAACTGCAGTGGGAAGGCCAGAGAGGGTTGGGGGGCAGAAGGGAGGGGAGTAAGAGATCAACCGAAGGACTTGTATGCATGCATATAAGCATAACCAATGGACATAAGACACTGGGGGTAGGGGAGGCCAGGGGATTGTCATGGGCAGGAAAAAAAAAAGGAGACATATGTAATACTTTTTTAATACTTTAAGCAATAAAACAATAAAAAAAGACCTCAAGTGTAAATAATTCTGAAAATTATAGAGAAATTAACTCTATTTTATAGTCACTCTGTAAAAAGTTTTATAACACTAACATGTTTTTTGAAAAACAAATATGTGTATAATTACATATAATATTTAGATAAATGTAACATCTAAGTTAAGTATTATAATACCAATAAATCCTATCAAGTTGAGGAGGAATTTTTTTCCTTTCATCAACCAACCAAATTTCAATGTTTTTATTTTTCTTCTGGTCTCACCTCAAAAATGGAGCATGGCATTGTGATAAATCATTGGTTTAAATATGGAAGGCCATGAAGAAAATCTGTAATCCAAATCTTCACTACGAAGACAGAAAACTGAGGCAGAAACTCAATCTGAGGTCTGGAGGTGGTTTTAACATTTTTTCCCTGATGTGATCTTGGGAAAATTACTTATCATTTCTAGTCCTCCATTTTTATCATCTATAAAGGTAATGATTACTAGCTTTGAGAATCAAATAAGATAATCTATAAAAGTCCAATTCATACTGTGAAACTCTGTAAACTATTAGGCATTATTATTATATCAATAATAATTTTTCTGTTCTTGAAATATTGGAGAGAAGTTATTGTGTAATCTCTCAGGCCTTCAGAGAGAATCATCTAATTTGGTTTTGGAGGGATAAGTTGTTTTCAGCTATATGGAGTTACATATTTCCTCCCTGGCTGAGTTCATACCATTTCTTCAGTTAAGATTTGAGTGGGACAGCTAGATGGAATGAGATGGGGTTATATTTAGGATATTAACCATTTGTTGAAATATTTTCCTAGTTTGATTTTTGCTTTCTAATTTGGTTAATATTTCTAAGTACATACTATTTTTACTTTATGTTGCAAAATCAAATATTTTCATTTTCATGTTTGTAACATCATTGCAAATTTTCAAATATTTTCTTATACAGAGAAAAATTTTATATTTTCTTCTTTTTGGAAAAATATATAAATGTTTACATTTAACTCCTTAACCTGTTTAGAACTAATACTGACACATGCTGTAAGATTTTTGTTTTTAAAAGATCACCTATAGCACCATTTTTGAGTAATTATTCCCCTCTATAATGATGTGTGGCCATGTACCCTTTAAAAGCAGAAGAGATACAAGAGAAAATATTCTCCCAAAATTTCAGAGCTGGCAAGGCCATTAGATATTGAATTTAAGCCCATTCTTTGTAAAATGCAGAAATAAAGGCCTAGGGCAGCTAACTGGATGCCCCCCCCTCCCAAGGCCATGCCACTTAATGGAGCAGCCAGGACTAGAACTTATCTCCTGATATTTTTATCTGAAGTTGAGACAGTCCTACTTCTTGTACATGCAGCTTCCAGAGAAACTTGGCAGAAGAAGGTTAGTTAACCATGCACAAAGTAAAGGGTCATGAGGGCCTCTGAAAGTTCCAGACAAGTCCTCCTGATCCCCAATCAATAAGGAAATATTTACTAAATACCTACATAAAATGCCTTGTGCAAGACCTTGACAAGGATGGAGAAGCAAGTGCCATCATTTTATCATTTTTGGCAATAAGTGTGTCTCAGTCCAGTTGGGAGAAAGGACTACATGTTCAGAATAAAATAAAAAGCAGTCCCTGACATTCAGAACTGGACTAGCACTAACAGATAAGCCATCCTATTCTCCTATTAGACATAAACAATTCCATAGAACACCAATATCAGTAAAGGTCACTCTGAGACCATGATAAAAGGAAACAAAACAAGGGCCACTTTCTAAATTTATTGAAGCAAAGACAAAAACAAGGTCACCAAATATTAAACATCCCCCTCCCTTGGCAAAAATGAGTGCCCACCACTTCTTTACCAATTACAGCTTTATGCTGGTTCTAGTTTCCCCTCACTATAGGTAAAATTTATTGAAATATTGCCCCACCCCCACTATAAGACTGCACACAGCCATTCCACAGTGTGTTCTTAAGGTGAAGGCAAGACCTTTTTATTTTATTTTATTTTATTTTATTTTATTTTGGTTTTGCTTATATGCATGCATACAAGTCCTTCGGTTGATCTCTTACTCCCCTCCCTTCTGCCCCCCAACCCTCTCTGGCCTTCCCACTGCAGTTTGACAATCAGTTTGAGGCAGCTCTGCCTCTGTATCTATTATTGTTCAAAAGTTTGTAATGGTCTTTATTATCCATGAATGAGTGAGATCATGTGGTATTTTTCCTTCATTGACTGGCTTATTTCACTTAGCATAATGCTCTCCAGCTCCATCCATGCCGTTGCAAATTGTAAGAGTTCCTTCTTTTTTACAGCAGCATAGTATTCCATCGTGTAGATGTACCACAGTTTTCTAATCCATTCATCTACTGATGGGCACTTAGGCTGTTTCCAGATCTTAGCTATGGTGAATTGTGCTGCTATGAACATATGGGTGCATATATCCTTTCTGATTGGTGTTTTTGGTTTCTTGGGATATATTCCTAGAAGTGGGATCACAGGGTCAAATGGGAGTTCCATGTTTTGTTTTTTGAGGAAACTCCATACTGTCTTCCATAGTGGCTGCACCAGTCTGCATTCCCACCAGCAGTGCACAAGTGTTCCTTTTTCTCCACATCCTCTCCAGCACTTGTCGTTTGTTGATTTGTTGATGATAGCCATTCTGACAGGTGTGAGATGGTACCTCATTGTTGTTTTGATTTGCATCTCTCGGATGATTAGTGACTTTGAGCATGTTTTCATATGTCTCTTGGCTTTCTGAATGTCCTCTTTTGAAAAGTGTCTATTTAGGTCCTTTGCCCATTTTTTGATTGGATTGTTTATCTTCTTTTTGTTAAGTTGTATGAGTTCCCTATAAATTCTGGAGATTAAACCCTTATCGGAGATAACATTGGTAATTATGTTCTCTCATGCAGTGTGCTTTGTTGTTGTTTTATTGATGGTTTCTTTAGCTGTGAAGAAGCTTTCTATTTTGATGTAGTCCCATTTGTTTATTTTCTCCTTAGTTTCCATTGCCCTAGGAGCAGCATCAGTAAAGATATTCCTATGACAAATGTCTGGTATTTTGCTGCCCATAGCTTCTTCTAAGATTATTATGGTTTCCTGTGTTACATTTAAGATTTTTATCCATTTTGAGTTTATTTTTGTGAATGGTGTAAATTGGTGTTCTAATTTCATTTTTTGCATGTATCTCCAATTTTCTCAACACCATTTATTGAAGGGACTGTCTTGACTCCATTGTATGCTCTTGCCTCCTTTGTCAAATATTAATTAAACATAATGGCTTGGGTCGATTTCTGGGTTCTCTGTTCTGTTCTATTGGTCTATATGTCTATTCTTGTGCCAGTACCAGACAGTTTTGAGAACAGTGGCTTTATGTATAGCTTGATATCTGGTATTGTTTTCCCTCCAACA